ATTTGCTTCAGGCACAGTCAGATCCTTATCGCCGCATGTCGGCGAATTTGTATGAGACAAAGCAGCCGGGCCAGTACTACCACATTCATGGATCTCTGGAAGCATCGACAACGCTCGGTATGATCGGTCTCGAGCCATTTAGGCCAGACTTGAAAGATCACAGTGCTATTGTTGAGGCGATAGAATCTCATGTGAAGCAATTTTCGGTCGATGAGCTTGAGCGGATGAATGCCGATAAGCGCCAAGCTGGAGTGCCTGTTCTCAAGCACGAGGATTTCATCAAGACGCCTCATGTAAGTCTCACTCGTTGAGTTTGCGATATCACTGCTAATCAACTTACAGGGCAAAACCAACACCACACTTCCTCCGTGGAGCGTGGACAATCTTGAGACTTCAACACCGCCGGCGCCTTTGCCGACTACATCTGACAAGCGGGTACTGTCGGGTGTCAAGGTGCTCGAGCTGTGCCGCATCATCGCAGGGCCCGTCATAGGACGCATCCTCGCAGAGTACGGCGCGGACGTTCTGAAGATTACTAGCCCGAATCTTAGCGATGTCCCGTTTTTCCAGGTTGATGGTAACATGGGCAAGCACGCCGCAGATCTCGACCTCAAGACTGAGGAGGGGAGAAAGCACTTTGAGACGCTGCTGGCCGAGGCGGATGTCGTTCTGGATGGTTATCGCCCTGGGGCCCTGGAGAAGCTGGGGTACGGCGCGACTGCGTTGACAAAGCTGGCCAAGGAGCGCGGAAAGGGGTTCGTGTACGTGAATGAGAACTGCTTTGGGTACCAAGGGGAGTGGTGCCAGCGGCCCGGCTGGCAGCAGATTGCTGATTGTGTAAGTCGACACATTTCTTTTTTGAGACTGCAAATCGCTGACTGAGTTGCAGGTGAGCGGTGTGGCGTGGGCGCAGGGTCAGTTCATGGGGCTTGACGAGCCCGTCGTGCCTCCGTTCCCCATTTCCGACTACGGAACGGGATGCATGGGCGCCATCGCCGCTCTCACGGGTCTCTATAACAGAGCGACGAAGGGTGGCTCATGGCACGGCAAGGCATCGCTGTTGCAGTATGATCTTCTTCTCATCAAGGCCGGGAAATATCCAGAGGACGTTCAGAAGGAACTGCGCAAGCTCGCGGGCGACGATTTCCTTGCGTTGCGGCACAGTCACAGTGTCGACCAGATCTCTGGCACGGCGCTCAAGGCAATGAAGGGGTATGCGCCGGAACTATTCAGCTCGCCCAACGTCCGTGAGAAGTGGTACGCGAGGCGCTACAAGGCAGAGGTTGAGGCTGTGAGCCCGGTGGTCGAGATCGAGGGCGTTGAGATTGGGTTCAAGAGGGCTAGCAGGCCGAACGGCTCAGATGAGGCAAGCTGGGATTTTGGCCCGGAGGAGGATCACCGGATCGTTGCACAGACAAACGGGGTTGCGAAGGCGTGAAATCATTCCAGATAGAATAAAATTCATCTAGATCTTTCAATAATGATTTTCAGTGACTATCACGTTGCTCTGAACGGTCAAACTAGGTATTCACACTGAGCTCGTTACAGAGCTGAGCCCCCAGGAATTGGGCCATGAACCCAGCGCTGTGAGACAGTGAAGTCGGGCTTCCTCTACACATCGTGAGCGGCTGTGAACATTCATCTCACTTCTACTATCACGAGATATTACTGAATGATACATCTGATGACCATCGTATCATTGGAGTAAATCCGCACGGAATTAGGGGTACAGCAGAGTCACATCTCACAACCCGAAGCCGAAGCCAATGATCCTTCCCGCGCGCGTGACTCCGCCAAAACGAAGCCTGGAGCTACCAAACTGCGGGGTCACCGGGGCAAGCCGACCGGAATAGGTCCATAATGAGTGCAGATATGGCATGTCCTTTGTTCTATCAGTATGTTTGTGAGTCTCGGCAGACACACCCCTCACGTCGGATCTCTCCCCCGTACCCGAAAAGAGAGTTGCGTGTGTTTCCCGGACCCGGGGGGCGGTTTCCGGGAGCGTAGAAGCCCAGCGCCGGTGGTACCCGCCCAGCAACAGCGCACGTGCAATTACAAAGCAATGGCGGGTAATGCACGCGCTGTGATTGGGAATAAGTATCCTCCATCGAACTGCGGGACGCATTTGGCAGTCGGGGTAGTTGAAGTTAGCTCATCTTTCAAGATCACGTCGTCTCACCGAGAAAACCATTATCTACATCATCAGCGATATCCCCCAGAGTTAACCAGAAATTCATCACCCATCACACATTCACATCTCACCATCATGGGCTCATTACAGAACGGAGACGGCCAGTACCAGGGCCTCGGCCAGGACTTCACCAAGCAGGTCATCGCCTCCATGGGATCGGAGACGAACCCCAGACTCCGTGAGATTCTTACTTCATTCATCCAGCACATCCACGACTTTGCTCGCGAGGTCGATCTCACAACGGATGAGTGGATGATGGGTGTCAACATGATTAACTGGGCGGGCCAAATGTCAAATGACCGACGCAACGAGGGCCAGCTGCTTTGCGATGTTATCGGACTTGAATCGTGAGTTTTCATGATGAACGACGCAAATCATGATGAGACTAAATGAGACTTGCAGGCTCGTCGACGATATCACCAACCGAGTGGCCACAAAGAACGGCCAACCAGGCACAGCAACAGCCATTCTCGGCCCCTTTTGGCGGGCCGACACCCCTGTCCGTCCCAACGGCAGCACAATCGCCGTCAAGTGTCCCGAGGACGGCGAGCTCGCTTTCATGTACGGCCAAGTAACGTGTTCCAACACTGGAAAGCCGCTGGCAAATGCCTCAGTCGATGTCTGGCAAGCATCCACAAACGGTAAGTTTTGAAGATCAGGCTAAGCTTTTTGTTGATGCACATGTCGTCTAATGTTGCACTGCAGGTCTGTACGAGCAGCAAGATGCTGATCAGCCCGAGCACAACCTCCGCGGAGTCTTCAAGACGGATTCGGAGGGACGTTATGGATTTTACTGCCTGCGGCCCACACCTTACCCAGTGAGTTTTCTCAGGATGTATTAATGAAGTTGCTCTTGATTATTGACGACATCTCTCAGGTACCGGGTGATGGCCCCGCTGGAAAGCTTTTGGACCTGCTCCACCGCCACCACTTCAGACCTGCTCACATTCATCTCATTGTAAGTGACCAGCTCCAATGCGCATATACCGACACATGCACTAACAGCTCTCCAGGTCAAATCAGAAGGCTTCAAGTCGGTAACAACACAGATCTTTGACGAGGACTCAAAGTATTTGGATGACGACTCTGTGTTCGCGGTGAAGGATGGCCTGACTGTGAAGTTTATCGAGAGAAAAGGAGACCCCAAGGCTGCCAAGGAGCTCGAGTACAACATCAAGTTGGCTGCCGAGTAAGCTGGAGAAGAGCTTGGATCTTGTTCATTAATTGTTATGGAAGGCTGAAGCATGAATACCAGGAAAAATGCCTTTGCTGAAGTACCTATGCTCCGCATTCGTGGGGATTGATGACCCAACCATTATGTTCAACTCATTGAGCGATGAGCTAGAAAAAGAGGACTGCGGAGACTGCGACCGCTGAGGACGACCTTCGGATGCCTTACGCCTAGTTCGCCGTAAGCAGTTTCTGGTGGAGTCTTTTGCCTCAAGTTGCCGCATCATGAGTGGTCTTTCCTGGCAGTATTTATACCGCTCTTGATAGCTCGTCGGATACTACCAATGCCGCGCCGAGCTGTGAGCCTCAGTTGACTGACCTCAAAGCTGTATCATCTCCTTTATGGAGCCGCTGTGTAAACGTGGGGCAGCAAGGAGACATCGTGCCGAGGGGGGTAACATTATCAACAATTTCCATGATACCAAGTGGATGTTGACCGTCTCAACGCAGTCGCTACTCCAGGACAACTATTCCATTAAGCACACAATAATGTCAGATACATGTCCCCATATTTTCTCTTATTCGACGTGCTTCTTGCATTTGTGTTTGACGGAAATGGCGGGAATAGGGCTGTGTCATCTTGCTGCTAGCTACTTATCACTCTAATGAATGGTGTACCAACGCTAATTCGTGCTCAATGGGATACGTGTGGCAGCAAGCTCAACTTATCGCTACTGTCAAGCTACGTGCTTACTTCGTCCCCAATCCTGAGCGCAAGAATAACTACTTCGTTATCCTTCCTCTTCCCAAGGAGTTCATGGATCAGTTCGAGTCTGCATGGAGGAAGCTCTGAGAGCAACAAGTTTCACTGATTTTATGGAAGTACGAGGACGACGAGAAGCCCTCTGGGTTCTAGTAAGCCTACCCAGGGAACCACTCTCACTCTCTTTTGTACTAATTATGTGTAGGCGATGTAGTTTCAAGCAGCACACGAGCTTCATCCAGGCTCTCGAGCCTCACTCTCTTGGCGGATATAACATTGTGCTTTTCTTGTCACGCCCGCACCCTCATGATCCCGGAAGTCGATGCACCGTCGTGAGCTTCGAAAGTCGAGCGGATGCTAATGAGGCTTGGATGGCGCACTAGAACTGCGTAGCCCTCTACTTCTTTGGAATCTTATACCACATCGAGCGAAGGATTATTGTCATCGACAAGTAAGTAGGTTCGTATGATTGCATAGGGTGAAAGCGAGTTAAGCCCACATAGCCGGTTAGCTCAAGGTAGAAGTGGGTTAGCGCCCAGCCATCTCAAGAGTTACCTCCTACGACAACATACATAGCGTTGATATACCTACTGTCCTTAGCATCTCTGTTCTTATCAACTCTATCCTTAGCATCTCTATCGATCTGTCCTTGGCATCTCTGTCCTTGGCATCTCTGTCCTTGGTATCTCTGTCCTTGCTGTCTCTCTTGTTAGTATCCCTGCGCTTGGTATCCTTATACTTTGTATCTCTATTTTCTTATTGTATTTCCTGTAGAGTATTCTATTATGTATAATTTGCAGACTATAAATGGCGTAGAGGACCTCTTGTTATTATTTTCAATATTATTTTTTTGAGATCCGTTTCTTTTGCTTCTAATCATAAAAACTCATATAAATCCTCGCCGTCAGAGTCGTAGAGTTTCGGATCGGCACCTGCTGTTAGCGAGAATCCTGTGACCAGATTAGCCTGCAGTTGCAAGAGATCATAGCTCGGGAGGTCGGCTTCGCGATCGGCATAGACCTTGATCAGCTTTCCGTCGGTCACAGTTTCCCATGGGTCCGGGCTCGTTGCCCCAAGTGTCTCATGATCACGGGGCTGGAACTCGTCGCGAGGATCCCAGACGTAGTTGACACGATCCGTCATCTTGATGTTTGTCCATCGAAGCCAATGGAAAGTCATTTCCTGACACCATCGAAGCTTGTTGACCGTTCTTCTTGCGGCGCTTCGCGTTCTCATAGAGTGACGGGAATTTGACTGATTGGCAGGTTGGCGCTCCGCCGTAACGCTGTCGTCTTCCACAGCCACCACGTACGGTTTTCCATTGGGCTTGAGCATGAATTTGCCGTCTGCCCAGTACTCGTGCAGTTTGGCATTCAGGCAGAGCATGTTGGCCGGCTCATCAATGATACTATCATCGTCTTCTTCGCACAGGATAAATTGAACTTTGTTCATTGCTTCCTCGCCATACCAGACTTTCATTCCATGAAGCAAGGACCACAACACCCGCTTGCAGGTCGACAGAGCAAAGGGAACAATATGGCAGACTTTAGGTAGTTCCATATTTGTGACAATACACCGTTTGTTGTCCCGTTCGAGTGCCTGCAACGGAGAGAGGTCAGTGATATGTCTTATCCAACGCAGTGTCGCGTTCGATGCTCACCTCGTCGGATTTTGCTTTGTTGCGTGTTCGCTTGGGCGGCTCCTGGAGCGTCTTCTTGGGTGCAGCCCACTGCTCAGATGAGGAAGCTCGGCATTTTTTTGTCGCAGAGGATGCTGTATCGCCCGAGATTTCCTCATCAAACTGTGCCACCCCAGAATCCTTCCCCTGGTCGTATCCTTTCATAACTAAGAAACCAATTAGTATTTGCAGGTTTGAACTGAAGCGAGAAGACCATACACGTTCTGATCAATCTCGGAAAGTCAGCTGCTGCACTAATATGCTTGGTAAGGTACGTGTAAAACGCTCGGCAGGGTCTGACTTCCTCCAACTTTTCTGCAATGTCCACTAAAGAGTGAACGTCGAGGACCCAAAGACCGCTCCAAAACCGAGCTGTCTTAAGTTCAGGCATCGTGATTTCGTCCAATGATCCGTAGATCTTCCGAATGAGAAGTAGCTTCTGTTCGAAATCTCCGAGGTAGTTGGGATCCGGAAGACCCTCTGTGGTTGACATCGTGTAGAGATGATCTGAGAGCGACCCTTTCCGGTTGGTAATTTGCCGCCTGGTTAGGGTGTTGATGTCCTGGATCTCAGATCAGCAAACCTACGTGGAATTTTATATCTCAAGGGAAGACGTACAAGGTAGTTGCGTTCAAAAATTTCGGCCATCAAGGTTAAAGCCATCATGGTTGGTGCCGTTGTTGTTGAGCAGTTACGAATTTTGATAAGAGGTACCCTGTGCCTTCCACTGCGGGTTAACTTAGACAGTCCCTGGGTGCCTGCTTATTGAGTGGATCCCATGTTCCAACTGCCACAATCTTAGACGAATCAGGGGTCTGCGAGGTATCCGCAGTAGTCAGCCCTGGTCCCTGGCCCGCTCCCACCTGCCCCTGCCCTTCACTTGGGGCGGAGACTAAGCCACTGCGCCGCACCGTTCAGCCGCAGGTCAACATCTCCTAACGTCCATCTCAACCACGACGTAATACCTAGGTAAGGTAAGGTAGGTTGGGCCTTACGAATGCATGTCTCCAAGTTCCAGAATCCGGCGAGCCTCTAGAATTCCAGCAGGAAGTGCCTTCTGCTAGACTCCTAATCATTCAGTCCTCAATTCGTCAATCAACCATAACGAACGCCATGCCTCTGTCTCTTTCCCATTCCAAAGATCAACTAGCTCCTTCCGTTCGGCTTCCGTTCGGCCAGAAAAAGTGCAACTTGGCCAACATAATCTCACAGTGCCATATGTGGTACTGTAGCACGCTAGCTGTCGCGTTTCATTCTCCGTATGGCCAGCCTTGGTTCGTGTGCTAAGACGTCAGCATACATCATTAACGATGCATATGCCCAAAGGTACGTGTACCACTGATACTGGTCTCCTCAGATAGCGTTTCGGTACTTACTACATAACGAAGCCACGTAAGCTGTAAGTTGTAAACGTTTGGGCAAGTCCATATCATAGGCTGACTGTGAATCATGGCTGGGTTGGAGCAAAACAAAGAATATTGAAAGAGATTTGGGCTGGTTAGGTATGGTGACCTTATACCGCGAATTCTTTGGCATTACTAGCTCAAATAGGCTCCCATGCTGGATACTGCCGCACCCGCCGGGTGGTCTATAAGCCTCTCACGGCTCTCTAATTGCAACAAGAAAAGGGTGTGTGGCTCATTGGTAGAGCGTCTCGTTCCAGGCAGCGGCCACGGCCCTGTCTAATGTAGTTGAAAACCACGGAACGAGGAGGAGCGGGTTCAATTCCCGTCACGTCCACTTCTATTTTTTTCCTTTTTTACTAAGAACTTAATATCTTATTTGACACAGTTTCCCTGGCAGAGGGCGCTCCGACAGAGGGGGTAAGACTACGGCCTGGTCGGGTAACTACACGACTAGGACGTATTATGTGAAATAAGACTACGATTAAAGAGCAATACGGAAGTAATATGAAAGTGAAAGATAGGTGACGTAAAACGTGTATTCTGATAGTTATCCCTCCCCTTAGGGAGGGACACGGTCAAACTATTCTAATACACTGGGGTTACGTGTCCTACGTGACTATGCTATAGATAACTAGGGAAATGTTATATTATTCAACCGGGTTCTATACTTATCTTTTTATATAGTTTTATACGCATTTAATTATATTTATTTCAGTATAATAATAGTTATGATATTATAATTAAAGACTTAATATTATTAAATATATAATTGTTATAGGTTTATGAAGCTATTTTTAATAAATATTAATAATATTTTAATTTCTCTTATTTATTATATCTAGTCTTGTTTCTAGTTCATTTAGCAAAAGAAATATAAAGAAATAAAAAAAGAGTTTTAATTAGAAAAAAAGAAGAACAACACTTTAGTTTGGAAAGTACTCGTAGAAGTAAATATAATAACTAAAGCGATGATAAGAGGTAAGTAACTTTTATAATGGGCCCTGTTTACTACTTTACTTATTATATATTCTTTTTGATAAATGTAAAGGGTAGTTAGTTAATTTATTAACATAGTCCTTGTCATAATAAGTATCACGGTCGGTAATCCTAGCCCTAGGTCTATAAGGTAGCGAGGAACTGGCCCAGCGTCCTCTTTACGAGGTGACGGTAAGGTCTAGAAATCTTCAACGACCTTAGTTAATTAAGATTGTCATAGTAATGAAGCTCACGAATTCGGCATCACCGCCTCTTTGGACTTCCTAGGCTCGAATTTCAGAACGGCAAAACCCATATTGAGAAGTACACAGCAGGAAGCCGTGTGGACAGTACACGTAGCAATCCGGAAATCATCAATGTTATAGTTTCTGAGTAGTATAGAACCTGTCTCTCGTCGTGGTAGAATGGCATAAATGTGAAGATCTAAATAGAAGTAGCCTTCAATGCTATTAGCCGAGGCGTCAAGAGTACGCGGGCTGGACCTCCAAGTGAGGGCTAGGTCGATTCGTCAAATTTCTCGCCATTTACCCGCCCAACTCTTGCCTGACAGTGGCTACTCATCCAGCCAACACACACGTCCAATCAACAGACTGACCAAAGGTCTCACTCGCGTAGGCTCTGGTCACCTACGGGCTGACCAGCACATCTATCCTTGGTTACAGGTCTCTTTATAAGTCAGCGTTTAGCAAGGAATAGCTAATCAACAAAGCCAAGCGAGAGTCACAAAAGCCTCGATTATTGGCGGTGGCCTACATCGCTTATGATTCATCTAGTTGATGACTCACCTGATCAAAAAAAAAAAAAAAAAAAAAGACTTGAAAATATAAAATGTAAATGGACGTGGCGGGAATCGAACCCGCGCTTCCTCTCATTGTCTGCTTAGAACTGTATCACCGCAAGCGGTTGTCTAGAATGAAAGAAGTGAACATGGTTCAACTCCTCTAAGCATATAACGGAGACGCTCTACCACTGAGCCACACGTCCTTTTATTGTTGCAAGTAATTGCTCATGAGAGCTTTAGATACTACCTCGTGCAGGGCCCAGTAATACCAGTATGGAATACTCCCTGGCCGCCCTAAGGGACTGGATGTTTATACAGCTGATCCGTGTTCAATCCGTACAGGGTGACTCATGATACAGGGTGACTCATGATCCATGCCGACCTCACAAGCCCGTGGGCCTCAAAAGGCTTACTTCAGACATTATGCACAAGGCATATTAATAGCTTGTAGCAGGCCACTCAAAAAGAAGAATTCTGCTTAAATGATTGTATATGGTGGACTACCAGGATTGAGGAAAACCTCAGAGGAGTTGACATACTTTAGTCCAGTTGTCCCACTATGCTTAGACACCACCAGGACCAGCAATACCTAAGAGCACCTACTCCTGGCTGCCGAGGCTGACTTTTGTTTCTAAGACGAGAAGACTGACGCACGCAACAGAACACACAACCACTCTACAGGTACAGCATACCTACTTACAGTGGCAGCAAAGCCTAGCGATGCGAATCTACAGGGCGTCACCACACCACTGCTACATGCATATATTCGATATGGAGTTCGAGGACATGAGGCAATGGCTACCCGAACCACTTAGAGCTGACCAAAAATGCAGAGTTGCACGGCGAACAGGGTTTGATAGAGCTGCCTCACATGATAAGTGTTGTCTTTAAGAGTCATCCAAAGAAAAAAAATGATTTGCGGCTAATAATATACCAATAATGTTTGAGAGAATCCCTCTTTTACATGTACTCTTATTTTGATAAGCATTAGTCTTCAATCCCGCTAGTCAACTTTCTCAACATCGCCGATCTGAAAGCCATTCGGAAGGCCGCACGGAGGACGGTCGGTTGCACTGAGAAAAAGACACCGGAGCTGATCATTCTTGCGATAGTGCGTATCTTGGTGGCTCACTTGGTATCTTCCTATCGCTGAAAACCTTTGTCCTCCACTCAGCAGCCAGTATACATTGCAAACGAAATATGCGCAATGGGTGAATATAAGCAACGTCAGTAATGCCAGCTCACACAATATCTGCGAAAGACGTGTATCGCAACGTCAGCGACGCGTTCTTGTGTCCCCGGCGCGCTATCATAGACGCAACCGAAACCCATAGGCTTGCTGTAGACTTTGGTTTCAGACGCCCACCTTGGACCATCCACCTTGCATTCAACCATTGCCGCCATGAGTGTATTCCATTTTGATCTAGACAGTCACTGCTAGACAGTGTCGCTGTACTGATTGACATGTCATTTTGTATGTTACCACTGACAGTGTTCCAAGTATGTTCGATTAGATATTGATAAACATCTGTTGCTAAAACCATTACAATGTGAGCTGCTCATTGACATTCGCAGCATATTCCTGATGCTCGCTGCTCTCTTAGACGAATTACCAGTGGGTAGGTCCAATGGTTGAGCCGTCGTCGGGCAAAATCTTCGTGACAGCAGAACCCTCAGCGTCGAGGTTGTTGTTCTATAAATACGATTAGCATATGAACAACCAGTAAGGGAAAGGCAACCGGAAAATACAAATACGGAATTTCCCCACCAATCAGGGAATTCAGTGTTAGAAAGACCAAGAGCAAGTCCAGAGATGACGATGCAAAGGGCGGTGCCGATATCGAGAGCTCCGGACAGGACGTAGTTGTAACGAGCTGAGAGTTGGGTTAGCACACGTGATAGCACGACGACTAGTCCAAGTGGGGCACTAGTCACAAATGGGGAAAGACTTACTCCACCAGCCGAAGAAGCGGTTGCGAACCCACCAGTTGAAGATGAGACCAACAATAACCCACTGTCCCAACCACCATGTGGTGGCAGGAGGAATCATGCCAGCAGCACCGAAAATAGCGGGGAAGAAGACGTATCGGAGCATGCTGCGGGGGTAGCGGCGGGCAAGGAAAAACTGGATGACGGGGCAGATGGCACCGATGAGCCAGAAGTAGTTGACCCAGGAGTAAAGTTGACCGGCACCGAACATGCGGCGGGGACCAATGACACCCCAAATGACACTGGCGTTGTAGAAAGTGCGAGCGTTGGGGCAGGTGAGACCCTGGGCCTGATGGGAAGTGCAGACGCCATCAATGTTACCACGGAGGAAGTTGTAAGAAGCGATCTGCACAAGAGACAGCCATACGACGGCGAAGGTCTGGGCGGCGAACATGGTGCGGGGAGGAATCTTCATGTAGTGGCCAACCTTCATGTCAGACACGTACTGGAGACCGTTGTAGCAGAGCATGTAACCCCAAGA